GGTTTTCAATTCCTTGCTTTCTCTCTACTCCTTGCACGCCCTCCCCACCCTGCACAGTGCAAATATTGGTACACTTGAAGTTGTCCCAGAGGCTGCTTATACTATCCTCATTTTTTGTTCATTCTTTTTTCTTTTTGCTGTTCTGATTGGGTGTTTTCTGCTTTTTATCTTATAGATCTCTGATTTGATCCTCTGCTTCAGCTATTCATTGTTGATTTCCTATAATGTATTCTTTCAGTTAACGCATTCTTCATTTCTTACTGGTTCTTTTTAAAATGTTTCTAGTTCTATTTTTTATGTTTCTTATCTCTTTGTTCATGTTCTAAGTTCATCTACTCTTCCCCTTAGTTCATTGAGCATCCTTATGATCAGTGTTTTGAATTCTGCGTCTAGTAGATTGCTTGTTTCCATTTTGTTTAGTTCTCTTTCCAGAGTTTTGTTCTGCTCTTTCATTTGGGACATGTTTCTTTGTCTCATTTTGGAAGCCTCCTGTGTTGGCTTCTGTGTATTAGGTAGAGCTGCAAAGCCTCCCAGTCTTGGTAGGGTGGCCTAATGGAGTAACTGTTCTGTAGGGCCCAGTGGCACAGGCTCTCCAGTCACTCAAGTTAGTCTATCCAGGTAAACACCCTCATAGGCTGCATTCACCTTCCTGTGGTAGTTGAACCTTGATTGCTGTGGGCACATCGATGGGAGGGATTTACCCACAGGCCACTTGGCTGGCGATGTCCACTGTGGAGGATCTGCTTTGCAGGGACCAACTCTACAGAGCGGACTCACTTTAGTGAGGCTCTGGTGGCTGCTGATTCTGCTCCCCACCCCCCACCCCCCTTTAAATAAGAGTTTATTTGAGCCAAACTGATGACATAAGCCATGGAACAAGATCTCAAATGTTCCTAAGAATAAGTTTTGCTGCTGCTTTTATGTACTTGAAATTAAGGAGGAGATGTAAGGATCAAGGAAGGGGTGTAAGGAAGATTAGAGAAAGTAAGGCAGGGATTGGATTATAGGATATTTAACAAGATTATGTGCTATTTTGAAATGCCAGAAGTAATACCTTACTTCTGGCATTTCAAAGGTATGTTAACCTAGATAGATGAACAGGAACAATGGGCAGGACTGCTTTAAAACCTTTCACTAAAAAAGTTTTAGACCTGGGTTGTGACCACCCACCATGACTTGCCCAGCTAGGAATTTATGATTAGATCACCCTGTGAGGTTACTTTTCATAGAACTCCTTTATTCCTCCACAGTTCCACCTTTTGGATATAATCAGCCCTAAGGATGCATTGATGACCAGCCTATTGGCCGGGTCGTATGGTCTCGCAGCCCTTGGAAGGTTCATTCCTAGAAAGTCTCAGTATTGATGTCTTGTCGACCACTGGAGATGGGATCTGAGATGAGGGAGAAATTTTTCTAAAAAAGGGAAGGTAAATGGAAGGCAATCAGATCTATGGCCTTCATTGTGAAAAAGATACTCTGAATCACTTCTATCTTATAAACTATCATGATCCTAGTTTTTTACCTTTTCATCTTTCTGTATTTGGTATTTAGTATAATATTGACATGAGCAATGAAAAGAATATTAACAGGTATCTCATACATGTTCAGTAACCATAAATGGCTAGACTAAATGGAAAAACCCAAAGAACAAGTATAACTATTAATATGACTAATATCATTAGCAGACAGGTAAAGACAATCAAACAAAATGGATTCTGAGTTCACATCAATCTGTAAGTAAACAAGCCATGTTAATGTCTTGGGATAACTGTCTCCTTTTGGTGTTAGCTCCTCATCCTCAAGGAGTCTTTGACATGGGTAGATGTTCATTCATGGTTAGGAACCTGAGAAGATTCTTTCCAACAAGGTCAGAGTATGTCTTTTATTAGATGTCCTTTCCAATAAACTACGTTGCCAGGTGGCAATCCACCAACCATCTTTAGTCTTTGTCTTCTGGGACCTCACCAAGTTCACCTGATGTGAGGCAACGAGCCGGTGGGGGCACAGTGGGACCTTGCTTATACCTAGCACCAGGTCCGGCTCCATGGGGTGATCCTGGGTGGACTTCTTCGGATTCCTGCCAGCTACCAAGTAAATTGACACCAAACCTGTGGAGAATTTTTATAAGAGTTTATTTGAGCCAAACCGATGACACATGCCAGGGAACTAGATCTCAAATGCTTCCTGAGTCTGCCCCTTGTGTGTGTCACTTGTGGATGTGGTCAGGTGGTGCTTGGCTGTGGTCTGAAGCTGTCCACTGGGTGCACTGACTCCGAGGCCACCCAGAAGGTGCAGCCCAAGGTCAGTCATTGTGTGTGCCCTGCCCGGGGCTACCCAGCATGAGCTACAAAACAATCTGCATATGGCTGCTATGTGTGCTAGGCTTGGAAGTGCCCAGAAGAGGCTAAGCTGCGAATCAAGGCTGGCTGCCGCTAATGCCAGGTCAGCAGCCACTTAGCAAGAGGTATGTGAGGCTCCCTGAGGCCAGGTGCTGTTTGAGAGATTTTAGAAAAGTCCACAGCAAGAGACAGTACAAGTAGTTTGTATGGAAAAGTCTTGCCAAACCCCAGTCTTCTTAACTCTTCCTGTTGTGGGAGACTAATCAGTAGTCCTTCAGTGCTTGGGGATGGTAGGATGGAAATTCTCAGATCAATTCTAGGGTTACTTTCAAGTACCTTTAAGGTTTAAAAGTTAGAAGATCTTGATACAACTTTCAGGGAGAAAAAGAAAATCTTAGAGACTAAGATTATGCCTTCGTGTATATCAGTAGACAGATATATCAAAATACTTTATTTACTATAGAATATTTAGTGGGAAAGTATGTATTACTCTATGTATAGTAATTGTAGACAGGCATTTTTTTCTTTTAACCAATACAGATGACCAAAAAAGAAAGAAAGCAAAAGAGACTCTTCAGTGTTTTTAAGGTATGGGAAAATATATACACATACGCACACATGCACACACAAAGACTTATTTTATGAAAGCTAGAAAACTGTTTTCAAGGAAAAATGTATGATCTACAGTTACAATGTTTAGATATTTGGCAATTGGAAAAAATAATTTTTTGGTGAAAATAGGAAAACAGATCGACATAAATGTACATTAGGGTAGTGACTTTCATTTCTTGTACATACACAGTGAAATAGTTCTGGGCAATAAATTCTTGGAAAAGTAGGGTAGGATTGGATAAATGTCATAGTTTATGACTGAATACATATAAACAGGTGAAAACTCAAGATGGAGAGGTAATAATAACCCCCTGATAAAGAGACTTAAAACCCTTTCACTCTACAAAAAAAGATTGTGCTAGAGTTATAACTTGATATTATAGTTTGATTTTTTAAAAAGCTATTGGTTACATTGTGGCTACTGTGGGTACATAAAATAAAGAATGGAATGCCCTTGTTCCCTCAATTCAAAGAAGTATTTATCTTTTAAAATCTTAACTGTGAAAAAATTGATGCTATAGGTTTGGGAACTAATAAGATTATTGAAAAATGTGACACAGCCACTATTTCTGCCATGGTGTCTTTAAAATAAAAAATAGTTGATAATGGAGAATTATGTAACTCTTTCAAGACAGCTACCAAGCTAAAGTTCAGTTCTACAAGGTTGGCAACATACGAGTCTTCAGACCTTTCCTTTATCCCCCAAACACCCTATGATGTCTGTTTTATGTCTAGATTTCAGGTTTTTCATACCTTTTATTTTCACTTACCTAAGCCTCATGCTGCCCCCTCACAGGAATCGTTCTGTGAGGTTACTGCAGCTCACTTTGACTTCCTCTCTCTCAATTTCTTTGGCACATACACTGCCTTAATACCTCTCCTCTGCTGTGTCTGAAGCCAGAAAAAATTGTTCTTTTTGTATACATTAGTTAGCAAGTGATGGGTAATTAGTAATCATTATGGAAAACAAGTTTAAAGGGAATTCAGAAGAGCAAGCAATTAATAGTGTGGTAGTGGGTGTTCAGAGGAAGTGGACATGAATGGTGACCAAAGAGAGACTAGGTCCCAGGGAAGATAAGATTGAGAGGGCAAAGGCCCAAATGTATGTCGCCTAGATGCTTGGACTATAGGTGCGATTTAATATTGGACGAATGAACTAAGGAATGTATGTGTATAGTGGCTTGGTCAAGTTTATTGGACTGTACTTTCATTTTATTGCATTTATTGGGGTGATACTGGTTAAGAAAATTATATAGATTTCAGGTGTACAAATCTATAATGCATCATCTGTATACTGTTTGACTCAAGTCATTCATTTATCACACATTTTTTGAGTTCTAGGGTACAAAGATGAAGAAATGATATTTTCAGGAACTCCAATTTTAGTGGGGCAGACAGAAATTTGTAGTAAACAATTTGCTAACTCCAGTGGGAAGTATGCACAAGGTCTGTGAAACCACAGAGGAGGAAACTGCAGAGAGGACTTGTGTAGGAAAGGCTGGATTCTCAAAAACCTTAAATTCCAGACTCAATTGTTTGGGCATTATTTTGGTTATCAGTAAGGCAAGATACTGTGACAGAACAACTTTGCGAAGGCTTAGACCGTACTGATCCTTGCTAGGATTTCCTTGTGGGATCTAGTAAGAGATTAGAGAGTTTCCCTGACCTAGCCCTATAGTTATACTTCAGGTTCAGCTGACAGCAAAAGTTAGGATGTAATTGGGAGAGTCAGTCATCTCTAATTAGTTTGGAAGTACTATCTCAGAAGGTAGTAACTCTTTAATGTTAACATTTTATAAATATCAAATTGAGATGCCTTAAAAATATACAAAATATATACATATGGAGACCTATAATGTATACATATAAAGTGTATACATAACTGGAAAAAATAGTGTGCATTTTGAAGGTGATAATTGAGTGTGTTTAAAATCCAAAAGAAAGAACAAGAAAAAGAGTATTGGTTGAATTTTGTGAGTTTTCAAAGGTATTTTCAAAGATCTATAACTAAACATAGTATTTTTGTCCCAAATTAATGCTTATTTCCAGTCATTTGGTCCTTCAAAAATCACAAGGAAGAAAAGTATTATGGATTATTCTCCAACAACTGGAACTTGTCGAATGAGCCCATTTGCTTCTCCCACAAGGTCTAAAGAACAAGAGCACAAAAATGGACTATCAAATGGTTAGTTAAACATGCTTTTTCACTTATTATAATATTTTTCTAGTTATTGGTTAAATCAGAATTTTGATTTAAAAATATATGGATATTGCTGCAGCTGAATTTTCTCTTCTTTCTTAAAGAATTCAACATAGAAAAGGCTAGAATATAGATATTACTTTGGACATAAATGTAAACTTTCTAGGTACTTATTTTAAAATGCTACTGCAGACTTTGTTCCCTTACTATCCTATCCATTAAACAGAAATTATGGCCTGACTGCCTTCAGCTACTATCAATTATAATGGTTACAGATATGCCTCTTAACAAGCTATCCATCATGTGCATAAATTAAAGGGCACATAATTCAGGTACCACTGCACTATACAGTTTAAGAATGATAGTCTTAAATGTTATTTTTATACATGTTGTCCATTTAGTCTTATCCACACTTTGTATATCTTTATATAACTGCTTTAATTATATTTCATTCCCTTCTTTTCCTTTACTATTTTAAATGTATTTTCAAAAAGTTTGTAGAATTTTCTGTAAGCAAATAACCTAATTTAACATGAAATTTTTTTCTTTTAAAATATCGTCAGTTTAAATTTGACCATATATATTTCTTCTTCTCTGGTAGTTTATTGCTAAAATGTTTATTTAAAAGATATAGAAATCTAGACTTTGTAGGTTTAATTTTTAATATTGGAAAAGGTTATGAATCAGTGACATGTCAAGTTTCTATAATATAAAATTTTAAGTAGGCTTAAATTTAATAAAATACATTTTAGATATGATTAGCCTAATTCATATTTTATTGTTTCACATTTATTGAGTGCTAAGCATATACTAGAAGCTGCATAGAAACAAAGAAATCTTCTTATTTTACCTAATTTGTCGTAATGAAACCCATAATGAGGCCTTAAACTTTTGAGTGACTTTTATTTTACTTTAATCAAATGCTTTTTATGTTAAAGCTATTACTATTAGGTTTGCTTTAAAAAAAATGTATGTAGATGTATACATTTTCTTCAAGTTCTGTACTTCTGTTTTTTTATACACTTGATATATCTTATATTTCAAATTAAAAATTAGTGCCTTAGAGATGGTACATTTCCATATTGAAATGTGAATAGGTTTTAAGTGGATATGTACTCAATTTCCATATTGAAATTAAATATGGACTTAAGGGAACATTCCTTTTGCCCATAAAAAGATTGGTCACATGATTCCAGTTGACATTTAAGTGGATAATTATCACAGATTATGGTACTAAGTAAGCTCTTTTTTAAAAAGTCATATAGCAAGGGTTCCTGGGGAGCTGCTAATATTCTGTTTCTTAACCTATATTGTGGTTATACTGGTTCACTCTATAATTTTTTATTAAACTGTACATAATGTGTTTTATATATTCTGATATATATATCTTACATACAGAAGTCTCAAAGTAGGAGAATTCTGTCTAGGCTTTTATATCAGGTTATGTCATCTTATACATATTTTAGAAATAAAAAAGCCTGACTCTTACAAAGTAATTTAAGTTCCAGTGAAGTCATAACTTCTATTTGCAATCCTCACTTTCTAAATATTATACAAAACATAAGGAACAATTTAAATAAGCACTTTTACCTAACATTTTGAAGGACATTTGAGTTACTACTCACTTCCCATCACATTTGGGATATAATTCAAACCTTATCATGGCTTTGAAGGCCGTACATCATCTAATACCTGAGCATATCACCTGCCTCATTTTCCACTGCCCTTCCCAAGTTTACACTACTTCAGCCATTCTTTCCTGCTATTCATTAATCACGTTGAGCCCCTTCCCACCATAAGAATATTGTACTTGCAGTTGTCTCAATTTGGAATACCTTTTCTCTAGATATTTATATGTACATTCTCTATACATTTGAACCATGTGGTATGTGTACAGTTGACTTAATATTAAATTTAAATTCATTTCTAGCTATAAAAGGAAGAAAAATCTGATTCTTAGTCTTCCTTCTACTTATATTCTGCATGGACCATAAATGGAGTGACTGATTCAACCATATATGTTAAGATATACATATATCATATATATTTATCATATTTATTTATATATTTGTGTGTCATTGCATTGCTGCCCTCCCCTATCCCTTAGGAAATTTCTTTAAATTATTATGCTTTTCAGAGGAAAGGAAGACTGGTACATTTTTTCTCTTCTTTACTCCCAAAAATGCATCAGAGTTCTTTTTTAATAATTAGGGTAGAAGTATAAACAACAAATTTGCATAGTTAAAATGAGTGCTTGTAAATTAGACAATAGATATGTAGAAATCACCCAGACTGCAACAGTGTAACAACACAGAGATATAAACAGAATACAAGTAGAACAATGAAGAGAAATGATAGAAGAAGAAGTTCTGAATTCAGGCCAAGATGCAGGCAGAGGTAGATACACTTCACCTCCTTGCACAACCAAAAGAAGGAAACAACCAATTTAAAAACAAAAAACAGCCAGAACTGCCAGAAAATTGAACTGTATGGAAGTTTAATAACCAAGGAGTTAAAGAAGAAACATTCATTCAGACCAGTAGGAGGGGCGGAGATGGGCAGCAGGGGTGGAGAGGATGCATGGCAAGGTAGCAGCTGGAAGACCAGGTCATCTCACATTCACATGTGGATAAACTGGGAGGAACAACTGAGGAGTGAGACAGACCGCGTAACCCAGGGTTCCGGTGTGGGGAAAATAAAGCCTCAGAACCTCTGGCTGTAAAAACCTGTAGGAGTTGTGGGGGTTGAAGAAACTGCCAGTCTCCTGAAAGCAGGGCAAGAGCCGAGCAAGTGGCATTGTTCCCTCTCTGACCCCTTCCCCGCATACAGCGACACAATGCAGCTAAGTGGGTTGCCCCACCCTGGTGAATACCTAAGGCCCCACCCCTTACAATGTAACAGGTGTGCCAAAACAAAGAAATATGGCCCAAGTGAAAGAATGTATCAAAATTCCAGAAAAAGAACTAAGCGACGAGGAGAAAGCTAACCTATCAGATGCAGATTTCAAAACACTGGTAATCAGGATGCTCACGTAAATGATTAAGTATGGCCACAAAATAAAGGAAGAAATGAAGGCCATATAAAGTGCCAAAAAAAAAAAAAATACACACACACACACACATATACAGGATCCAACAGTGAAGGGAAGGAAACTGGGACTCAAATCAACCATTTGGAACAGAAGGAAGAAATAAACATTCAACCAGAAGAGAATGAAGAAACAAGAATTCAAAAAAATGAAGAGAGGTTTAGGAATCTCTGGGACAACTTTAAACATTCCAATATCTGAATCATAGGGGTGCCAGAAAGAAAAGAGGAAGACCAAGAAATTGAAAACTTATAATGAAAGAAAACTTCCCTGATCTGGTGAAGGAAATAGACACACAAGTCCAGGAAACCCAGAGAGTCTCTAACAATTTGGACCCAAAGAGGAACAAACCAAGAAACATCATAATTAAATTGTCAAAGATCAAAGATAAGGAAAGAATATTAAAACAGAGAAGAGAGTTACCTGTGAAGAAGTTTCCATAAGACTACCAGCTGATTTCTCAAAAGAAACCTTGCAGGCAAGAAGGGGCTGGAAAGAAGTATTTAAAGAGGTGAAAAGCAAGGATCTACATCCAAGATTACTCTATCCAGCAAATCTATTGTTTAGAATGAAAGGACAGATAAAATGCTTCCCAGATTGGGTAAAGTTAAAGGAATTCATCATCACCAAGCCTGTATTATATGAAATGTTAAAGGGACTTATCTAAGAAAAAGAAGAAGATCAAAGCTATGAACAGTAAAATGACAACAAACTCATCAACAACTGAACCTAAAATAAAACAAAAACAAACTAAGCAAATAACTACAACAGGAACAGAATCACAGAAATGGAGATCAGCGGGGAAGGGGAGGGGGAGAATGGGGGACACGGTACAGGGAATAAGAAGCATAATTGGTAGGTACAAAATAGACTAGGGGAGGTTAAGAACTGTATAGGAAATGGAAAAGCCAAAGAACTTATATGTATGACCCATGGACGTGAACTAAGGGGGAGGAATGCTGGAGGGAATGGGGGTACTGGGCAGAGGGGGATAAAGGGGAGAAAAAAATAATGAGACAACTGTAAGAGCATAATTAATAAAACATACTTAAAAAAAAGAAGAAGCTCCAGCCTATGTCAAATAGTAGTTCTACGTGGAGGAAGTAGAGAGAATGGGGCACAGACAGTATTCTAAGACATAAGGATTATCAACTTTTCATAATTAAATAAAGACAGGAATTTCTAGATTAGAATACCATACTTAATCTGAGCAGGATGAATTGAAGCAATTCCACACCTAATCATATGCTCAATTCTAGAGCATTAAAGACAAGGAGAAAAATTTAAAAGCAACCAGAGAAAAGACAAATTACTGAAAAGAGAATGTCAAATGGAGTGTAGATTTCTCTCCTCATTACCAATTTACCATTACAGCGGGAAATGGAATAATAATACCAACTAGATATCACAGCTGAATTTTTAATTCAGGAACTAAAGACAAAATAAGATATACTCATGTGAAGTCTAAGAATTTACCATTCACAGATTCTCCCTTGAAAGGACTACAGAAAAATGTACATCTACAAGAAGCAAACCAAGCTATGGGTAAAGGAATGGAATGCAAGGTGCAGTGGTGAAAAATTAATTAGCAAACAAATTAATAAATCTACATAAAAATTTAACAACAAAATTATGGTTACAAATTTGCTGACTATAAAACAAAAGGCACAAATTTTGGCTGGGGAGGGGAGGTATAAAAACAAATAATAGACCATAAAATCATAGAAGACATATGAAGAAACAGAAAGGAGTTAGTGATATAAGTAAGGTCCTTGTAATTTTCAGGGAGAAAATGGAAAAATCTGTAAATTGACTTTTTAATTGTATTTTTGTTTGCTTCCCTGTAAAATGGAGAAAATAATAATATCTACCTCAAGCTTTTTCTGAGAATGAAATG